ATGGCCAGCTTTGAAAATTTGATTTTAGTCGTTTTAATGTATGTCTGTCAAGTTTTGAAATTTGGATATTTTGGTGTAAAATTTTCTTACCCAATACCACATGTGCTTAAATTATTATCAGTAAATTTTTGCTCACTCACGCATATTTTAAGAAACTTATCCATCGTCTTCGACTAAATTTCAAAATATTCGAAAAAATTTCCGGAAATAATTTAGTCACTTGTGGTATTCTAAGTGAAAATACACGTCTGGCTGACAATTACAATCACGAAGGCCTGCCAGACTCACAAGTAGTGTCCGACCGAAGGTTCGGTGACGGTTTCGGCCAACTTCGGCTTAAAATAAGAGTTTCGACTACAGTTTCGGTTTTGGCGGAAAACTGGCCGAAACTGCGGCCGACAGCAAAACTACTTTCGAAACTTGGTTGTGTCCTGCACAATGGCGACTGTGCCGGGTGCCATTCTTACACAGTGCACGTACACACAAACATCTCTGCTTTGTTTCAAGTGAACAGACTTCAGTGCTCCTAGCCTAATTTATTCGGATCAAAGGTGCAATTTTTTAGGTGAAAACGTGGAAAAATATTTTTTTTACACTACAACGTTAGACTGTGTACTTATGAATATTAATTTAATTATAAGTAACAAACATATTTAATCCGCTGAATTTGTTTTTTTTTTTTTAAATAAAAATTATACATTACATATAATTTTCTTCATAATACTATTTTTTGTTACAAAATATCTACTACAGATGCAGAAATGATTGATACTTTGTAATTCACTTACTTTTTTTTTAATTTTAAAAGTAATAAAAAAAAACAATGTCCATAAATTTATTAATGGCTTCTTTTGATCACCAAAAATAAATAGGTAATAAGTAAATGTAGCTTAAATTTATAATTAGTCTAAAACAAGGATTACAATAAGATACTGCAAATTTCAATAAGAGATTGCCTTAAAACAAAGTTCTTGTTTCGGTTTCGGCCGAAACTAAGAAAGGAGCCGAAATTTGGTTTCTGTTTCGGTTATAAAACCATATTTCGGTCGGACCTGACAAGCCAGGTAGTTAAACGAGGAGAGGAATAGCAATCGAACGTGCCGAATTTAGCGCGCTTGGCGATTATTAGATGAGTCTGGCAAGGCTTTCGGGGTGTTCCACATTAGCCAGATTGTATTTTAAGCTGTTTTCATAATATACATTTTTCTAGTAGTGAGAAAACTTGTGACAGGGATCTTACTGGACAATGCCAACCAAAAGGACACCTTAGTAAACTGAGATTAGTAGAAGATAGTGACTGCAGATTCTGTGAGGAGGACGAAACCTTCGTTCACTTTCTAACTGAATGTGCAGCACTCCAGAATCAAAGGACACTATACCTAGGAGCATATGGAGCATATAAAATAGAAGAGGGAAATTTACCTAACTTGAAGCCATTCCAAATCCTACACTTCCTTGAGAAAATATAATTGGAAGGATCTTTATAGGCATTGAGACATTTCTGTGCTGCATAAGCGACAGAAGGGGGCACAATAGATCTTTTAGGTCGCAGTTTATTAACACCCCAATTCCAACATAACATAGTGAGAAAACTGCAAAAAAATGAAATCCACCAATCACAGTTCATATTTTGGACACCCAACTACTATTATTTTTAAAATTTTAAATTCTGTCAATATATTTTTTAGTCATTAAGATTACATACGTTAAAATTAGTTATTTTTGTTTAGAATCGATAAAAAATGGCATTTTTATTTTTATTTGGGCCACATTTAAAAAAAATGAATTTTAATCAAATTGTATGAAACTGATTTAATTACGAGTATTAAAACTAAAAACCTGGAGTGAAGTGGAGCTGAGGACAGAGCATCTAGATTCCACGTGAATAGCCTGGGTTCGAATCTGGACAAGGGGCTTATTTTATGTTTATTATATTTTATAAATTAATAAAATTCATAAATTATTTTAAAATTAGTTATTTTGTCTAAACCTAAAATAATTTTTTAAATTTTTATATTTTCCTTAGTGGTTCATAGAAAAAATATACTGTACAACTCGAGTGAATTGTCCATATCTACTCTTGTTGCACAAACTATTATTTCATGACTGCGAAAATGAGGAAATTTTTCATATTCGCCAGAATTTTTTTACTTAACTTTAACCTCTAGAACTAATATATATTATATAACTAGGGCTAGGGCTTTAGCCCCCCCAGATCTGATGACATAACTTCGCCCATGTCGCTGGGCAGCCTGTATATAAATATACAGCTCTCTATTTACATAATTATAATTCTTAGGTAGGTTTAGATTTGCAGACATAAATCTTGTAATAAATATAACAGCTGCCTAATACATTGATTACATTTTCATTAGCCAATGTAAAAATGTCTTTTATTGTACCTAGGATTTGACTAAACACTACACAAAACTAAAAATAAAATGCCACTTTCATCGTGTAATTAATGCCGCGTTTGAGAATCCACATCGGATGCATTTTTTACATCTCGAGCGTTTTTTATCCACAACGGACACATCTGTCCCATTACATTTACGTATACTGAATCACGTGATCAAAGATTTACTACTTACTACATCTCAGATGCATCCGATGTGGATTCTCAAACGCGGCATAAATAATAAACTACAAACGGTCCTGTAAGGGCAGCGTCATATAGCCTTGAACCACCGGATTTTAGTGCTATTGTCAGGTCAATATTGAATTTGTAGGTGAATCGCTTATTGAACATTAAAAATACGGTATTAATGACATTAATACGGTATTTGTATATATTTTTGGGAATGTAATTACACATAAATATTATTAGTTGATTATTTAAATGTTTATAAGTTATTTTGTGGCGATATTTCGTAGATATAAACTGTTTAAATTATATAATTTAAAAATTTATTAATTTAAAATTCTTTTCTGTTAGGTATGTTTAATATATTTGGCAACACTACAGGGACAAATCATGCATATTGCGCAAGCTTCTAGACACACTATTTTGCGATGTCAGGCGCAGAGACGCGTTTTTATACACAGTAGGTTTCAATTTCTGCTTAAATGTTATGTTTATATTGGTCTTCTATATTATTTCTATGGTCAACGGTCGCACAGAAAACGGTCCACTTTAAACTGATAAACACTCGCCTATATAGTCGCTGGCTCTTCATCTATTGACGATATTCAGACGGTAATCGTACACTCCATTTTAGGCTGATTTGCACGTGAAGTGTACATGCTCACTGCATCTCTTCAACGCGGCGACTATGGTGTACAAAATTTAGCAGCGGTTTACCTCTCGGATTTACCTCTATTCAAATAAAGACGTATAAAAAATGACGTTACTTATGAAAATCCATGTATACATATTTTTTTAACTCATCTTAGGATGTGAAATGACTGTAATAACTTATTTTGCATATAACTGCGTTTAAAATGGAAATTTAAATGATGTTCTTGTATTTTCAAAATACACACAAGGGTTGATTGAATCATCTAACATTGGGAATAAATTAGTTACAAATAATAAGAAAAATTACTTTATATATTTATGAGAAATCCAATAAATATTAAAATATCAAATTCCACTGTATCTAACTCTAATCACATAAATTAAAAAATAAAATATTAAATAACAAACATGCAGGTTAAAAGCCAAAGCCCAAATGTTAATAAAACAATAGATAACATCATGCGAGTAGAAAAACAGTTTTATATCTACTAAACTACAGACACCCATGTATTTGGATTATATTGTTATAAAAATAAAAATACCGATTATGTAATACATATAAAATGGGTATATTATTTTGATTTAAACATGTGGTTAGGTATATGAGATGTACGATTTCATAAAATTAGGGGTTGCTCTCACCAAGATTCTCAGACTTTTGTTTTGCCCTTTTTCCAGGTAATAATGAGTATAACTCTTAACTCTGTAATAAGTGTTGATAGAGCTTGAGACTATGATCTGTTTAAATGAAATAAACTTTAAATTACTCAGTCTAAACATCAGTCATAGTTTACTGAGCTTGTAAATTTCTATAAATGTTTTTACGAGTATATCAAGTGAAGTAAAGCGAAGCTTCTATGAGAGTAGAAATGCAAAATGGTCAAGATGAGTGTGACGTTATTTTTTTCTAAACAAAGCAAAGTAACCATGACAACGACTGGGTCAATGTTGTCCACATTTGTCAAAACTCTGTATAGCTTTCATCTTTTTTTACGTTGAATTTTTGTTAAATTATCCTATATAGTTTGTTGTGCTACCTTTAGCAGTTTAGCTTTGTTTATCATAAACATTTTAACATCCCTCTATTTTTAAATGAAGCCGCAATTTACCAAAGAACATGTTTTATGTGCTAGGACAATTATTGCGATATACCAAATTCATGTGAAACGTGCAATATTAAAAATAAAATACTATGCAATTCTCGATAGTATAGCAACTAGTCTGATATCCTATGTGTTCAAGTTTGTGGTGTATTAACACATTAATAGCTGAACTGAAGCATTTGATAGTGCAAGAATACATTTCTTCTTTTTCTTGGAAAATATCTTTTTAAATATGAAAAAAAAATTTAATATTTGCTAAATAATTATTATCATCTTCTGTAACTTAACTAGTCAGTTAAAACTATCTATATACTAATCTTATGTTTTTACATAGTAGCACTATTGCCCTCAATATTTAAATTACTTTATATGAAATACATAAGATGAGAAGCAGAGGAAAATATTTAACTCATCATTCAGTGATAATTAATTACAAACTGATCTTCAGAGTTTTTTCTGCAGCCTTTTCTTTCCTATCTATATTATATTGAATTTATTGTTATTTTGGGTAATATTGTTGTCATGATAACTTGTTATGTGGAGAAACAAATATGTGTTATCAACTTGGTTTTGACATCACGACTTTCACGGCTTGGCAAAATATTGTGTTAGCGAGAAAGTTGGTGAGAACACGCCTAATTAATAGCTTTTTTAATTAC